CCTGCCTAAGCAGGTGCTTTAGTCCTCTGACATACTAATTTCCCTTAATAAATTTTCAGTTACAAAGTTTATGCATAGGAAAAAGTAAAAATAAAAAATATTGTTAACCAAATTTAGCCGCATATTCTATTGCTTTAGGCATATTTGGACAGCAGTATAACATACCTACAGATATATTTATGTATTAATTATATGTAGTGTTTCCTAAGCTTAATTTATGACCTTTTCTTCAGATCTTTAATTATGCTACTCATTGAAGGATCCTAACCCTTTTTCTTTTTGGTGTGTTTGTTGCTATGGATATCGAAACCTAGGTGCTACTTCTCAAAAATGATGCTTTTTAAATAACCAAATAAAATAGATAAATAGACAGGGTTCAAAAAATAAACCAATTCAATTAAAATACTGCTGCCAAATATTAAAAATGCATGAGATTGCAGTCAGTGTGCTGCTTTATGTCTTCAGCCAGAGCCGGCAGTGCGTCTGATAACCGCCGTAATCTTGAGGTACCGCTGGGTGTAAATGATATGCTAAGATAGCTGCCGCAATGAAAATTTGCCATGAACATAGCAACAAGTTCTTTGGGTGACAAAGTCACCAATTCTGCTAATAGCACTGTCCTTTAAAGCTTGCATCTGTCACGGAAGGAGATGTTCAATTTCAGTTAGAGGTTATCAGAAATAAAGGAGTAATTTTCTTTTTCCACCCAAGTCTTTGGACTGCTGACTGCTACCCATCGACCCTTCATGGGAACCCAGATGAAGAAACCCTGAACTAAATGGATTTTTTTTTTCCTGCTAACATTCAAGATAGCTGTACTGTTCTTGCGAGGACTCCGGCCCTGGTCCCTTGAGTCGGTGGTGCGGTGGCCTCCCCGTGTGGCCATCTGCTGGGTCATGGTTTGGGGTTTTTCCAAGGGAAGCAATATAACACATTTTATAATATTAGTTCATAATGGATCACCCAAGAATCATGTGCAACAAGTGAAGGAAATCTATCCACACGCTAAATACTAAAGAATCCAGCTGAGGGCCTGGATCCCACTTTACGGATCTGTGCTGGGAAGGCCCAAAGGTCAGTGTGGAACCTAGGAAGTCTCTGCCAGCGGGATGAAGGAGCTGTACCAGCAGGCTGAGAAATCTGCACTGGGGCTAGGAATTAATGCGCTGGGTAAGCACCAGAGCTCCCCCAAAAGCACCGCAGCCATCCTCAGCAGCAGTGAGGTCCCGAGCTCCTCCAGAGATGAAGAAAGCTGAGTTCCCATCAGGAAAGCCAATGCAACAAGCTCCTCCGTGAGGCTGAGCAGTGCACCAGCTTCCCCTCCAGAGCCAGGAAGCGATGCTCAAGGTGAGGACCGGAGCTCCTCCAAAGTTCACCGGGAAAGCCAGCATGGTGAGGTCCGCCAGCAGAACAGCCCAAGAGAACCAGCAGCCTCCAACAGCTTCTCCAGATAGCATCTCTAACAGCGTTCTGGCAGCTTCTCCTGTTTTACCTTTTATGATGCTGGCAACAACCCTCAGGTGTGCCTCTCACACCCAGCACCACCCTACTTTAATTCTGCTCAGTGTAAGAAGTTGACCACCAGTGAGCATCCACCACAGGCTGATACCTCTCTGAATTCCCATTCTCACTGGGATGAGTCTTCAGACTTACCGGTCATTCCTTTACCTATATCCCATTTTAGCTATGCAACGGACACACAACCGGTGTGAATGCACAGGATTCAAAATGCAAATGATACTTAAGGTTTTGCTCTGTGGGGAGGTAGGATTTTAGTGCTTTGGATGAACTTGGTAAGTAAATGAAGTGTCCACTGCAGGCAGGATTTATTGCACCCAGCTAGCAGGGCAGCTGATGGTAAAATGTGTAAAGAATGGAACACAAACACAGGCTACCCTTTGTGCTCGTGGCTCTGGCTCATAGGTTCGTGACCCGCTTCATCGAGCTAGAGGGCTTGGCCTGCCTGCTGAATTTCCTGCGGAGCATGGACCATGCCACCTGTGAGAGCCGCATCCACACTTCCCTCATCGGCTGCATCAAGGCGCTGATGAACAACTCGCAGGGCCGGGCGCATGTGCTGGCACAGCCCGAGGCCATCAGTACCATTGCGCAGAGCCTGCGCACCGAGAACAGCAAGACCAAGGTGGCCGTGCTCGAGATCCTGGGGGCTGTGTGCCTGGTGCCCGGAGGCCACAAGAAGGTCCTGCAGGCCATGCTGCACTACCAGGTGTACGCGGCGGAGCGCACCCGCTTCCAGGTGGGTACGGAGCCCGGCCGCCCTGTGCTACAGCAGAGCTGGGTGGAAGCGGTGCACGCTGGGGGCCCTTGGCAAGAAGGACTGGGGAAGGGACGCAACACAGGCTGCTCGCAGAAGCGGGAGAGGCCTGGGACCAGCGGGCTCACCTCACGAGACACCAGGGCTTACAGGCTGTGTGTCTGTCTGGGAAGTGGACTGGTCCTCCTCACTGGGATCGGGCTTCCCAGGGCCTGGAATATTGGTTTGCTTCCTTGCTTGGGCTCTGCATTTCTGAGTCCAGCATCCATGCCTGTGGAGGGCTCATTCAGGAATTACTGAGTTGAGTGTGATCGCTGGGATTAAGATTTTAGGTCTAAAGCCAGTGTCAGTGCCCAATGCTGGGACAGTGGGGTCAGCCCTGGGACCTCCAGCCACTCTGTCTTCTTTTCTTCTTCCTGACTAGCTAGAAAAATGCCACTAAAATAGCCAGTAATTATAACATGTCTTGGGCCCTCCACAGAGAATTCCATAGTCAATGTGAATTGGTCTCTGTAGAGGGCCCAGTCTGTGGTTTATGTGCTGTGGTAGGCGATTTGTTTATTCTGTAGTCAAACGTGTTTGAGTACTTGCTGTGTGCACCGTGGCCCCTGACCCTTTGCAGAAGGTGAGAAGGCATGAGAGGTAGCTTTGGGTTGGTGGAGAGCTGGGCAGGGGGGTGTGCAGGGGTCCAGCGGAGGAGTTAGAAAGCAGCAGCGCTTACAGCAGAACATAGCAAGGCCTGCGCGGGGCTGAGGCTGCCACGTGGCAGGGCCAAGGTGGCTTCTTACAGAGGTGGCCTGAGAAGCTGGAGAGACACACGTGGGCACACGACAGACTGACTCCTGTTGGGAAATCCTTAGCTGCGGACCAGGAGCTGCTTTGTAGTATCCTTTTTACTGCGAGGTAGTAACCCTACACTAACCCTGTTCTGCTTTCCCATCCAGACCCTGCTGAACGAGCTAGACCGAAGTTTGGGCCGGTACCGGGATGAAGTGAACCTGAAAACAGCCATCATGTCCTTCATCAATGCTGTCCTCAATGCTGGTGCTGGAGAGGTGAGACCCCTTTCCTGGCTCTGTGTGTGTGCGCGCATGGGCGCGTGCATGCGTGCACACATGTCTTTCCTGGCTAAGTGGCAGAGAAAAGAGCCGAATAATCTGGTCTGTGTATCATGTCATCTTCAAATTATTTTTAGAGCCTCTTCCATCTTTCACTTGGGCCTTGCTGTCACCAGGGTAACAGTGTGTCAGTCAGCCCCAGTCTGCCGATAACCTACAATCTGTCCTATCTGTGGCTCTTCTTCTTAGCTGTGTCAAGGACAGATTCTGACTTGCTTGGCCTGCAGAGTTCTTCCTGCTTCCCCTAACCCTGGGAGGGCTCCTGGGAGTCTCCTGCAGAGGCAGCTGGCATGTTCTCGCTGAAGCGAGCATTTCCTTCAGTGGTGGATGTAGGCTGGGAAGGGCAGGGCTATTTGAGCACCAGAGCTGTCCCCAGTACCTGGCTGAGCAGGGCGGCAGGGGTCAGTTGTGGGAGGAGAGCATTTTCCAGCCCTTTGTTCTAGAGCTTTCTAGAAGTCGGCATCTGGATGCTTTCTGGGTTCGCTGGGGGAAGCCTTCTAGCACTTTCTCTTAGGAGGCATGGCTTTTCCTTTGGGATCAGGGTTAGATTCTTAGACCATCAAAATAGCAACATTGGTAGAACATGAAGGACAGATAAATGCCCCAAACTCTGAAGGCAGTCACATGGCCCAATCAAGGTCAGCCAAAGGACAAAGAGGGCGAAAGGACTGAGTGATCTCTACCCTTCCCTCTTTGTAGCCGGCACACATTTAGTTGTGCATGAGTTCTGATAACCTGCATTAGGTAACATTAGCTAGGGGAATGAATAACCTGTCCCTACGATGCCGACACCACCTTTGTCCCTGCCAACTCTGTATGGCTGGCATCCCTTCTGATCAGTTGGTAGTATATTTTTGTGACCATCAGCTCTGTAAGTCAGTTGGGTTATGCCCATTTTATAAATAAGGAAATGAAGGCTTTGTTAAGACCACAGAACTCAGGATTCTGCGACAGGGCATGGCCTTAACAGAGGGCTTGGCTGACACCGAAGCTCCTGCTCCTCTCAGTTCACAGCTCTGCTCTGCGAGACCAGAGGCTAAGAAATCCCTGGGGAGGGTGTAGAAGGATGTGGGGCAGGAGCCCTGAAAGGAACCGGGCAGCAGGCTTGCTCTGAGGGGCGGCAGGGTCAAGGCACCCCCGCGGTCCTCACTTGCAGTTCTGGGGCTTGGTTAGCGTTCAGTGCATTTGCTACAGATGAGCTGGGGTGATGATGAGGGCTCCCTGAGTGGATCTTGGAGACACGAGGCCACCCACGAGTCTGGTCCTCCCTGGCTCCCCCCAGGATAATCTGGAATTCCGGCTACATCTGCGGTACGAGTTCCTGATGCTGGGAATACAGCCTGTGATCGACAAACTCCGGCAGCACGAGAACGCCATCCTGGACAAGTGAGATCTCGGCCTCTGGGTTGTCCCAGGGCAGATGTGTGGGGGCAGGCTCAGCCGGGGGCTGGGCAGTGCCTTTGTCTTTAGGACTGCATGCCATGCCTAGCGAAGGTTCAGAACCAGCTCTGTGGGGACAGGTGTGTCCTCTGCCCACCTGCTGGTCTCAGTTCCTAGGTGATAGACGGGTAAATGCAGCGCTGCCCCCTGGGGGACATGTGGAATATGTTGGGGTGTTCTTTGGTTTTCAAATTGATTGCTGGGGAGCATTATAGCATGCGTGGCTGAGGATTAAGAATACTCAGCACCCCACAGGATAACTGCTTGGTGTGAAATAGTCCGCCCAAAATGCGTGCTGCCAAGCCCTGGCTGGTGGGAGGGCCCAAGTAAGCTCTACATCTCACCAGTGGGTCCCTCCGCTCCTATCCCATTAGTACAGAAGGTATAGGATGTCCTTGTACCTGGGGCTGTTAGGGAGAGAGGATGGACCCTGAAAAAGAGAGAGAGAGAGAGAGAGAGAGAGAGAGAGAGAGAGAGAGAGAGAGAGAGACAGACAGAGAGAGACAGAGAGAGAGAGAGAGAGAGAGAGACAGACAGACAGACAGACAGACAGACAGACAGAGACATACACACAGACACAGACACAGAGATTAGGAGACTCTTAGCAATTCCCAGAGACATTCTTTTTTTTTTTGTGGAACCGGGGATTGAACTCAGATCCTTGCGTTTGCCGGTCAAGCGCTTTTCCTACTGAGCCATCTCCCCGGCCCCTCCAGAGACGTTCTGGTGCAGATTACTCTGACGTGTAGTGGGTATGAGGCTATGTGAGTTATACGTGCTCTGCTTGATCGTCTCCCACAGCCAAGGATAGCTGAGCCTAAAATGCCACAGTGTCCAAGTTGAGAAATGCTGACCTACAGTGACAGGGCTATGGGAAGGCCAGTCAGTCATTGGCTTTTACAGCAGAGGGGGTGCTGGCCTGTAGACAGGTGGCTCCTTTCTGGTTTGGCCTTAGGCTCACCTGAGTGAGGCGTTCAGATTTAGCTGGGGTACAAGGGACTGTGACCCTACACCATGGCCGTCCTGGCAGCAACCTCTCTCTGCCCCCCCTCCTGTGTTATCTAGGCATTTAGACTTCTTCGAGATGGTCCGGAATGAGGATGACCTGGAGCTGGCCCGGAGGTTTGACATGGTGAGGAACCCTGGTCTGGGGCTGTGCCACTGGCCGACACCCGCTGGCCCAACAGTGCTGCTCCAGATCCAGTGCTGGGTGGTTCTAGTGTCAGCAGGGGCCCTAAGACAGACAGACAGACAGACAGACAGACAGCCAGCCAGCCAGACAGCCAGCCAGCCAGACAGACAGACAGAGACATGTTGCCAGGCCCTGCTTCTGGAGCCCTGGTGGAGCAGTGCTGGCTCTGGTGGACTCCACTGATGGGCCACACCTGGTCATAGCCCCCCAGGAGACCAAAACCCTCAAAGCAAAGAGAGCCAGCTCTTGCACAGCAATTAGGCTCCAGGGCCTTTCTCGGGCCGATTTTCCTGCACCCCCTTTCTCTAGTCTTAAGCAGATTATACTTTGCAAAGCAGATCCTGTTTTCATGTTCCCCTTAGCACTCCTAAAAACACGCCACCACTGGTTAAATACTGTCCTATAAAATCCTCCCCAAACGGGAACCCCTCCCGGATGGTGCATCAACAAGCAAGCCCGGCCCCTGGGTCTGTGTGTGGCCTGCGATCAGCACAGGATGAGTGTGTCTGGACCGAGGTGCAGGCCACGGGGTGAAGCATCTACGCTCCTGGTCCTTCCCCTTAGTGGGACTCAGGAGTTCACAGCCTCAGGTGCTTTACTGCCCCCTGCACACCAGGGCACGTCCACCAAAGCTGGGGACATTTTGGTTGCCACACTTGGGGCGGGAGCAGGAGCAAAGAGCAGGTGCTATTGGCCCCTATAGGCAGCAGCTGCAGACGTTGGTATGCCTCTTTCGGTGCAAAGGCAACCCGTGCAGCAAGAGCTGTCTGGCCGAGATGCAAGAGTGCTCGCTTACGTCATGAGCCTCCCTCCCTGCTCCTTTCTCCATCGAAGCCTGGCCCAGAGGCAGGGAGAGAGATGCTATCCCAGGAGGGGGCCTGGGATGGGGGCACGGTCTCTCTGCTTCCCCTCCTCACACACCGTGGCCCCACCCTCAGGTCCACATCGACACCAAGAGCGCCTCCCAGATGTTCGAGCTGATCCACAAGAAACTGAAGCACACCGAGGCCTACCCTTGCCTGCTCTCTGTCCTGCACCACTGCCTGCAGATGCCCTGTGAGTTCCCTGCCACCTCTGCTCCAATGGCTGAGCCTGGCTCAGGGCGGGTGCAGACGAGGCTTCGGAGGACCTCTGCGGGCTGGGGAGTCTATCACATCTTGGTCCGCGCTTGTCCTTGGGAGCCCAGCCCCTGTGACTCAGGCCCCTCCCTCTTAGGGTGAGGACACCCACTGTCCCCGTGGGGAGGAGCCAGAGACTTGGCAGTGAGCAAGCCAGCATCTTCAGCCAACAAACAGTGGCTTGGTGGTTGCAGAATCAGACAGCTCTGTCGCCAGTTTGTAAAGGAGGAGTACTCAATACTTGTCCTTTCTATTTTTGTGTGTGGTACTAGGGGTTGGACCCTGGGCCTTTGCACTGAGCTATGTCCCTCGTCCGTTTTTATTTTGAGAAAGGGTCTCACTAAGTCACCAAGGCTGCATTCAACCTTGCAGTTCTTCTGCCTCAGTCTCCCGGAAGTCCCTTTGCTAATTCCAGAACGAGGTTTCACCGTTAAGGCAAGAGCCTGGATGTGTTATGAGCTTGCTATGTGTGTGCGTGTGTGTGCATGTGCGTGCATGTGTGTGTGTGTATGTGTGTGTGTGTGTGTGTATGTGTGTGGTGTGTTCTATCGGACCCTTCATCTAGTCCTTGCTGACCCTCACCCTAGCACCCCTGCACCTGTGTCTCTTTACAAACCCCAACAACATCTTGGGAGCAGGAGGTTAAGCTTTTCATGTGTAGTGAGCATAATGCTTAGATCCGTGGCACATGCTTGCTGGTACCCACCCCAGAATGCAGTTGGAAGCCAGCTGTCACTGAAATGTTTGGTGCCTTAGTGTCTCACAAAATAGAATGTTCAAATTCACAGCGTCCACCCAAATGCTCAACCTAGTCAGGCTTGCCAAAGTGATGGTGGTGGTGGTGGTGACAGGAGTGGCAGTTCACCGCGTGCCGCCTCTGGGTGCAGTGGATAGAAACAGGCTCTGCTTCTTCTTATCTTCTGCTGCTGCTGCTGCATGTCCCTCTCCACTCACTAGGGCCCCCATGCCCTGAGGTGAGGCTCACATTGACACCAGAGGGAGGCACTGTGTGTGGGCCTGTAGCGAGCCAGCGTCTCTGCTCCTCACAGTGACGGACCATGGATGTCTTCATCTCCATCCCGCAGGCTGAGCGAGTTTTTTAGCTGCAGAAGGACTTTCCTTTTCGTGGGCTTTGGGCGACACATGTTCTGTCTCTGTGAGCCTTGCTGCACTTACCTGGCCGCGAAGTCCGTAGCAAGCTCCACCCCTTAGCAATGTCTGCGCTACAGGACCATGAGAAGGCCAGGCGATAGTGAGCTGGAGCCGACAGTGAGCTCTCAGTTCTCCACAGTGGGCCCAGGGAGCTCTCTCCAGGAGGAGCTGAAAGACCTCACTTCTATTGCTTCCAGTAGTTTTGGTGCCTGGTATTCCAGCAGCAACACGGGATTCCCTCTAGTATGTTCAGAAAGGGGGCTTTAAGGGCAGATCTACTGACATGAGACAGAACTTGATGTCAGGTTGTGCTGGTTGAGTTCTTCTAGTGGTCAGTAGATGTGGAATCGTGGCCTCGGGCTGAAGAGGAGGAGGGGAAGAGGAAGGAGAGAGAGAGGGGAAGGGAGAGGGAGGGGAAGGGAGAGGGAGGGGCAGGGGAGGAGGGGCAGGGGAGGGACATGTGGAGGGGGAGGGGTGAGGGAGGTGGAAGGGAGGGGGAGGGAAAGGAGCAGAGGGAGGAGAGGTCTGTGTCCAGCCAGGCTGTGGCTGTAGGGCATGAGGCACAGCACACAAAGCCTTTGTCTTCCTAGCTCAAGGTCATCTCCCCCAAGAAATCACCGTTGGTTTCTGTCATCCATGGCTCTAACTCACTGCGCTGTTCTCCAGGTGCACATCTGCAATCTCTGCCCATTCATCTTTTCTATAGAGCAGTAACATAGATAATCTTGAAATCTTTTTTTTTTTTTTTTAAATTTCCCTGAAGACTTCATTATTAGGCATGTAGTATTTTAGAGCAGGTGCCTTTTATAGATAATGGGAAAAAGTCAGTTTGCATTTCCTGGCCATATTATGCCCTGGGTCCCAACAGGGAAGAAAGGCAGCCAGGAGGCCTCAGTGGAGGAGAGAAATATGTTAAGAGGGTTGACACATCCAGAGGGGGTCGGGCGCGGGTAATGAAGAGATGACTAGATTTGCGAGCCTTGGTTCTTGGCAGCTGTGGTGCTGCTTCTGCCAGCCTTGGAGCTCCCTGTGTGAAGGCGAGGCCACACCCCACATCATGAGCCTGAGCAGTCGGGGCTGCTGGGGCTCCCGAGCTCAGCCCAGCCTGTTGTCCCTCAGACAAGCGGAATGGTGGCTACTTTCAGCAGTGGCAGCTCTTGGACCGAATCCTCCAGCAGATTGTCCTCCAGGACGAGCGGGGAGTGGACCCTGACCTGGCTCCGTTGGAGAACTTCAACGTCAAGAACATTGTCAACATGTGAGTGGTGGCCAGCCCTGGGCTGTCGTCTGCCAGGTTTCATCTACCTGAAACTGTGAGTCTCATAGTGGGCCGCCTCAGCTGTCTCAGCCCCGATGTCCCTGAGTGGTCCTGAATGACCTTGTCCCACAGGAAAACTCTTAAGCCTTGAAATGCTTCATTTATTCACTGCCCCGGTGTGGTAGCGGATGTGGTGGCGGATGCTAAGTGTGACTGAGGAACCAAATTTTAAATTTCATTTAAATTTGAATAGCAGCAAGACATGTAGCCAGAGGGGATCATACCATCAGTATAGAGAAGTATCTCTCAACTCTCAATAACTCACTGCGTGGGTTGGGGGGATTTATACACACTTACTTGGAGCCTTGGTAAACACATGCGGGTGGGGTGCACGGGCCAACCCCAAGCCTCAAGCTTGCTTATGTGTGACCACGAGCCGAGAACAATTATTTTCATATTGTAAGCAAACAAACACAAGAACGTGTGACAGACATGGCACATGGAGCCTAAATACCTACCTCGGTCTTCTCTACAAAGCTTGCTGTCCCCTGACACAGAGCATGGCCATTTGATCGCCAGCCTGCTGTCTGAGGAGGTCAGCGCTTGCTATCGAGAGACCCTAATTATAGAGGTATGCAGAGGAAGAGATCCAGATTTCTGTCAGTTACTAACAAGACCTTAAATCAGCACACTGGTTTTTGTTTTGTCTTTTGTATTTTAGGGAAGGGTCTACAGAGTATTCAGGGTCTTACTACTACATGGGACTCATAGTGATCCACCTGTTTACAGCCTCACTTGGGGGCTGGAATTACAGGCATGTGCCACCACGCCCAGTCTCAATTGCCGTCTCAGCATGCCCTGGGTGTGGGGCCGGCATGGCAGGCCTGGGAATCGAAACCCTGGTACTTGCGCCTGCTTGCAGGCGCTTTAATCCACTGAGCTATTTGACTGGCCCAGCACACTGATTTTTATTTTATTTATTTATTTATTTATTTGGCTGAACTGGGGATTGAACTCAGGCCCTTGCGCTTGCCAGGCAAGTGTTTATTGTACTGAACTATCTCCTCGGCCCTGTGATTTTTAATCTTAAACTTTTACTTCACTTTGGAGCTAGGAGCAGATGGTCCTTCCGGAGGACTGGCTCTCTGTGATGCCCTAGACAGCATTCCAAAGCCCAGTAACAAGAGGGTTTTGAACCCTTCTTGTCTTTATTTGCACAGTTAGTTGCCGAGGTTGTATATTGGGCAGTGCAATTACTGAAGTAACCGGAAGCCTGCTCATGTCTACAAACAAGGAGTGTGGCAGGTCCCACCCAGCAGTGCTTTCCCCTCTGTCCTTCTCCATCCTCTGGATTTTGCAGGCTTTAGTGGTTACCCTAATCTTCCTCCTTCTTCCCAGAGGCAGGGAACGTGGGTCTAAACTCTGGGGAGGACCACAGAAAGCCCTTCCCTGCACAGGGGTGGGGTGGGGGTGAAGGACGGAGCTCCCTGAGGGTCATGGCTCCCTCCAAAGAAATCTGTACCAAATCCTCCCCGCTCCATATCCTTGGTTTGGTTGAGGCCAGAAGTCATATGGATCTCACCCATCACATTTACAAAAGCAATGAATCTCACTCTGGGACTCCCCCTTGGCATATCCTGGTGTGTAGGTTTAACTCCTCCTCACAAGAGGCTGACAGTTTGCACGAGGCCCTGCTAATGTCTTGACTGTTCCCCCTCAACCTCAGCCTCTTCCTTCTGTGCCACCGGGCCCAGGCAGTTTCTCTGCTCTTACACACTGGTCTTTGGAAGCCCAGGCGTGGTAGGCCTGGCGTTTTTCCCAGATGCATGGGTCTTTGTTCATAAAGAAGCATGAGAGTTTGTACATCTGAGGGAAACTGGAGAGTTGCTCCTAGCTCTGCCATGAATTAGCTCTCCTCCCCATCTGGTTTCAACTGTAGCACAAAGCGCTTGGATTGAGATGGCTCAGGGTCCTTTCTGTTCTCATGGTCTAAGGGGACATACAAGAACTGGGCAGGAATGAGAGCCGGAGAGACATCTGAGGTGTCAGGTGCTAGCCTCCTGGGCATGGCTGTGCAGATTGGAGACCTTGAGCTAACCGTGGCATGGAGATCTGGCTTCCAGAAGTGATCAACCGCCGGCCACGTTGCCCATTGCCCGTCCCATCCTCTGCCCCCAGGCTCGTCAATGAGAACGAGGTCAAGCAGTGGCGGGAGCAGGCAGAGAAATTCCGGAAAGGTGAGCAGTCCTGCCCAACACGCGCACACCCCGTGCCTCTCCCCACAAGGGCTCCCAGGGCCACCTTCTGTCCTCGCAGACCACTTGGAGCTCGCGAGTCGGTTGGAGAGGAAGGAGCGGGAATGTGAGACAAAGACCCTGGAGAAGGAGGAGATGATGCGAACGTTGAACAAGATGAAGGACAAGCTGGCCCGGGAGTCCCAGGAGCTGCGCCAGGCTCGGGGACAAGTGGCAGAGCTGGTGGCACAGCTCAGTGAGCTCTCAGTATGTGAACACTGCCCGTCTCCACCTTACGTAGCTCAACAGAGACCTGGCTGCAGAACAGGGTGGGGAGCAGGGGTTACAGTGGAGCCAAGGGCCCCGTGATGAAACAAAAGAGGAACTGGGGTCTCAGGCCAGGCCTCAGGGACTGCTGAGGCTGGATGAGCGACAGCTTTGTGGCAGTTAGGAAGAACAGGGCCCCTTTCTCTGATGACACTCATCTCTAGTGACAGCAGGCAGGTAGGGCTTCTGCTGCCCTTTCCTGCTCAGCTTGTGCTTTCGTTAGCCTGTATGGCTGTGTGTGCCAATCCTGCTAGTCCACCAGGACGACAGCGACCCTGGCTGTCTCGTGTCTGCGTGTATTTATACATGTCTGTGTGTGGCTTTGTACCCTACTGCTATGGGGGGTGGGTATTGGGTTTGCAGAGAGAGAAGGGAGGGAGTGGGGTGGGCGGATGATGAGGGGTCTTGTGGAGATGGAGAAGAAAAAGAAAGGAGAGAGAGGAGGCTGGGGGAATGGTGGCATCAGTGCTGATGGCTTTGTCTCTCTGATTTTCTGTCTCCTTGCAGTCAGGCCCTGTGTCTGCCCCCCCTCCCCCTGGAGGCCCGCTTCCCTCCATGGCCTCCTCCTCCTCCATGACAACCGATGACCTGCCTCCACCCCCACCCCCTCTCCCCTTCGCCTGCTGCTCCCCACCGCCCCCGCCGCCCCTTCCACCCGGCGGGCCTCCCACTCCCCCCGGCGCCCCACCTTGCTTTGGCCTCAGCCCGCCCCCGCCTCAGGACCCTTTCCCCAGCAGCAATGTTCCACTCAGGAAAAAGCGTGTCCCACAGCCCTCCCACCCGCTGAAGTCCTTCAACTGGGTCAAGCTGAATGAGGTAAGTGGCCAGGATGGGGTGGGGACAGTAGCCCAGGGGTTGCCGCCCATGCATGGCACCCGCCTTCTTCCTGTGCTCTCCTGGGGGGTGTTGAGGGTGGTCACAGGGGACATTAGGGACAGGCTTGCTGACCACTGAAGAGTGTCCATATCTGGAAAGCCGCCCAGCACATGATGGTGGTGGCGATGCTCTTGTTGACAGTGCTACTTGTGTGTCCACTTGTGTGTGCTGGGGGTGGGCAGAGTGGCAGACATCAGAGCCTGGGGCTAGGCATGCCCTCCACCAGGCAGGGCTGCGCAGCCCAGCACTGTGGAACAGCAAGACAGGGCGGGGCTAGAGCTCTAGAGAGAGGCACGCCTGACGCACAGAGTAGGCAATTCCTGCAGAGCCTGGGCTGGGACCACATTGTGGTGAAGACCAGGGCAGGTGCACAAGAGACAGCATTTGGCGAAGCGCAGCCAGGTGGTGTCCTGATGTGTGCGTGTGGTGCACACTGGCGTGAGTCCCGTTTCTTGGTTTCCTGGTGTGGAGTGAAGATTGGTGGTCTCGCACTGAATGTATAGTATGATTTATCTCACCTGTACAGGTACCAGGGCTTCCTTTAAACATATTTTGACTTACCATTTAACTTACCATTTTTTCCCAAATAACACAGCAGAGATTTAATAATTAAACAAGAAAACTTGGGCCAGGAATACAGCCCAGCGGCCTAAGTGCCAGCCTGGCAAATGCAAGGACCTGAGTTTGATCCTTGGTACCACACAAAAAAGGCAAACATATAAATCCATCTAGTAACAATACGTGGCTGTCTTCGCAGGCACGCACACCTATAGGTCAGTTGAAATGCTGTTCATAGTAATTGCTATTTTTTGGCTGCTTTGCACAATCTTCCCACATGTGGGGCAAGGGGTGCAAAACCCAGTGGTACATGACTGGCCGCCATGCCTGTTGGGCACAGGAGCCGGGCTTTGCCCTGCACTGCTCCTTCCACTGTTCCTTTGTTGTCTGTGTATGTGGTCAGTGCCCAAGCACCAGCAGTGGAGCCGTAAGAGTTACGCTGAAAGTCCTGGTAATGTTGCAGGTTTATGTTTCTGTGTAGCTGCGTTACCAGAGGTGCAGGGTCACATGCAGCGCTAGTGAGGGGCCTGCACAAGTATGATGTGGATAGTCCCCACGAGGGAGCTGGTTCTTGTCTTGGACTCTCACAAACCTAGAGAAGCTGTGAGTCTCAATGGACGGCTACTACTCGAAAACCCTGGATAAAGTCTTACCGCTGGTTCAGTAGGATGGTAGTTTGCTTACAGGACTGGTGGCTTTGTCCCTGCATGAGCACATCCAGTGTGAGGGGGTTTCAGTTGGCCTGCCCATGTGGCCCATACTCACGTCCAGGAACAGCCCTGCAAAGCTGAGCTTTCTGGGTACACTCGGACCCTGTGAGATGGGCCCGTCGGACTCCCTTGTGGGGAATTCACACCTTGCAGGTGAGTTTCAGTGAGCTTGGGAAGAGGTGGTGGGTAGGTCAGGGAGGGGTTGCTGAGTGGGTGATTGGCTATGTGCTAGGTGCGGCCCCCTGGCCATCAGCTTCTGCGGGGCTGTGCTGGATTAAGGCAGGAGATGCTGTTGTTCTGGGAGAGCTTCGGATTGGGCACATTAGGAGGTGTGGTCAGGAAACACCTAGAGAGCCAGGGCAGAAGTCTCTAACCTCAACCCAAACCTGTACAAATGGTGGGGAATCTCCAAGAATCTTTCCACCTGTCTGTTTGATCAGAGTGGAAACGTGGGAGATAAATACAGCCCATTCATAGTCTCTGGGGCCTCTGCAAATGTCTCCAGGCTGAGGTGTGGCAGCTTTCGAGGCAGCTGGAAGCCACATTTCAAAGCGAGGTTGGCAGAGCGCGTAGCAGCTGCATGTGTGGCTCTGCCCAACGGGTGCCGCTGCATGGCCAGACAGACCGTGGGTGCAGGAGCAGGCTCACCGCTTCCAGGACCGGAAGCTCCAGGCTATGCAGCAGTGTTGGATGTGAATGGAAATGATGTTAATTTTGTTGCAGTTAAAAAAAAGAAATAGTTTAGCTTCTGTTAGGAAGGTTTTAAAAATGAGGAGAGGGGTCAGACTGTAACAAATGCAGTCATGGAGGGACATGGACGAGTTCACTAATGGTTCTGTGACCTGTGCATCTAGCAGCTGTGTGCCTGGGATTTTCCCCAGGGCCCAGGAAGCTACAGAAGTCCCTAGTGACTCGGTGGTGGCACAGCAAGTGCCATTCTTTGACTGTGAAGCAGTGTTTTGATGGATTAGATGAGGAATGTTTGTAATTGTGGCCATTTTGGCAGGAGACGGGTAGAGGGGGACTGAGTACTATTTGAGAGCCTGCTATCCCATCCCAACGGTGTGGCCAGTGTGGGTTATTTCATTGTTTGGGCTTCAGGTTCTGATGTGTGGCTCGATGATGACTTTCATCTCAAGAGATGGTTGTGAGGAGTGACTGACTTAACACAGGTATTCGTTGTTTAAGGACCCACCTGTTTAATGACTGCTTAGAGTTACCCCTGAGGCATGCTGTTTGAACTTGCATCCTGCTACTTGGACTGACATCCTGTTTAGTTTTGCACAGCTCTGTCCCTGTGTACAGAGCTTCAATGTCCTTCGTACACCTGGCTTATACAGCGTTGTGACTTTTGCTGATCACAATGTACAGGAGAGTACAGTAGTTTGATATTCGGTTATGCATTTCAGTACTGTGTGTAAGAGACATGCAAATGGAAGCAGCGTTCCCAGGTTGGAGCTTTGGTCATGCCTTGGTTCTTAAAATTGCAGTGTGTGTACTAGACACAGCTCCTAGGTCAGCAACCAAGTCATTGAAGGACCTAGTTGCAGGTCCGAAACTCAGTCATTAAGTGAGAGAGGTCTGTGTCTGTAAAGTATTTGGAACAAAGACTAACATGTAGAAAGCCTTAGAAACACCACCCGTCAGCTGCCGTTAGTGGCGTTGCCCCCTGGGCTTTAAGCATTCTCTCTCTTAATCGTCTCAGCTCAGGGAGGTAAGCGTTGCCAAGACTCCATTTCCCTTCATGACACGGGACATTGCTCACAGGTCCACCTCATGGCAAGGCTGAGACTATTAGCCAGTTGGGTTACCTGAGCCCCAAGGCCGGGAATGCTCTATGGGGGAAGCAAGACATGGGACCCCAAGAAAGATTTCCCTGGTAAGCCAACCATAGCTCTAGGAGCATTTCCAGTTCTCCAGACTGGAGACGGCAGGCTCTTGGCCAGTGTAGTGAAGAAACTAAATTCACAAATTATTAGACAAGGTGGGTGCCCACAGTAACTCGGCAAGCTTGGGGAAGAGGCCCACCTGTCTTTGGCTGCAGGCCTCCGCTGCACCTGTGACTACTCAAGGCAGATGTGGGCGTGCGGGGTGTAAGCTGATGGAAGGGTCTGTCGCTTGTCTTGTGGAGGGTCTTTCTACCCCTTCCTTCCCTCCGGCACCACCAGGATGAGAATGGGAAGCTTTGCCTCTGGGCCTGTGCCTCACCCCTCCTCCCTGGGATTACACAGAGGATTCCCCCCTGTGCAGGGGACTGTGGGCCACACGCCGCCTCCAGCTCACTCGTATCCCCTGTCTTTGTCTCCCTGCTCCCATTTCCTGGGACCTGGCTCCTCTCCCCAGTCCCCTCCCTCCACTCTGCACACGCTCCCCTGCACATGCATGTACTCGCACATACACACATGTGCGCGTGCGCTCAGGATGGTGGTTGCTGCCACGAAAAGAATGTGTCTGTGTTGAGTTTGGCCAGTTGCCTGTATCGTTTGCTGCTCTGAGCTTCCCAGCCCGGCATTCCACACGAGGGTCCCTGGCCTTCGGAAGGCCACAGGAATGTCCCCACCCCCTGACTCTGGCCTGGCCTCTCCTTTTCAGAGTTTAAGAAAATAAAAGTGAGTGAAAGGTATGCTTCCTTATGCAAGCCTTCCGAGGGGGAGACAAGGGAGGAGGTGGCGGCATGGGAAGGTTCCCTGGCTGCCCTGCAGAGGGAGGTGGAGGGTCCTTTTCCAGGCTCTGGAAGAGAGAGGATCCCAGGAGAGCGCTCAGAGCGTCGTGCTGTGCACTCAGGGCTCTTAACCCGCTGTCTTCTTGTCCTCTAAGCCATCAGCAGGTCATTCTGGGACCTCTGGGGGCTTGGCTCACAAGCAAATGTCCTCTGCAGATGCCAGTGCACGGGCCCTGTCTCTGTGAAGCGTCCTGGCAGTGTGAAACCCTGTCTCCTCTCAGGCATGAGGGCTGGGTCTGCCCTCTCGGCTCTGACCCGCAGGAAGTAGTGCCAGAGCCCTGCTGGTCTGAGTGCAGTCACTCCCAGGGCCGGCAGTCCTGACCTTTGGCACTGATCCACTTTCTATGAATCTGGGAAAGTGGGAGCAAGACTGGGAAAGAGAATGACTGTGTCGGAGACAGGAAACACAATGGCTTGGGGGCTTCTGAATGTGTGTGTGTGGGGGTCCAAGCCAGTGACAGCCATGCTGCAGCACCCACAGGGCCTTTACTGAATGGGCCACCCAGGCCTGCGCGGAAGACCAGGAGCATTGCTTCGCTTTGCTTTGCTTCTCTGGAAGGAGCACAGCGCGCGCCTTTTCCTGCTTGCACACCCAGTGCTCAGCACCTCTGAGATTCTGGGACGTAGTTCTGTGCAGCCCCCCATGGAAAGGCAGAGAAGGAAACTACCTTGGGCTCTGTCCTGGAGCAGAGTATTGAAGAGGGGTAGAAGTTTGCAGTGTGGTGGAGGGGGCGTTCAGCCCCTTTCTGTAGGTATAAAAGCCTGGCCCCTGTGGTTTGCACTGTCGGGGAACAGCTGGGGCTGGAGACCAGTGGGCTTCTCCATAATGAAGGAATTGGGTCAACTCTGGGTCTCCTCTCTACCTGGATTGTAGGAGCGGGTCCCTGGTACCGTATGGAATGAGATTGATGACATGCGGGTATTTCGGATTCTGGACCTAGAGGACTTTGAAAAAATGTTTTCAGCCTATCAGAGGCACCAGGTAAGACCTTACCCCTTCTAGCTGCTTGGCTCTTGACTTCCGCACCCCAGCCCCCGGAAGCGTGACCCTTAGCCTTTTTCTTCCTCCCCTTCCCCCTGATTTCCTCCCTTCTGGCTGCATCCTCCTCTCCCTATGTCCTCCCTCCCTCACTTCTTCCTTTGCTTGCACAGATACTGAACAGCTTGATGCTCTAGGGGGTAGCTCGCTCCTGTGGAGGACGTGGCTGTAAGAGCTGAGGTGTGCAGTACCAGCACATGACCTTGTGTATTCACCAGTCCATTGATGTGCTCCACCCATTTCTCCCTTATGTCCCAGAGCACTGGAGGTGGCATCTTAAGGCCTGGCACCATTGTCCCTTGCTCTTAGAGTCCCCTGGACTTAGAGGTGGCACCTAGAAACCATCATAAATTTTCTTTCTCTGTCTCTGTCTCTCTCTGTCTCTATGTCTCTGTCTGCCTGTCTGCCTGTCTGTCTGCCTGCCTGTCTGTCTGTCTGTCTCTCTTTCTCTCTCTGTCTCAGACAGGGTCTCACTGTGTAGTTCAGGCTGGCCTTGAGCTCACATTATAGCCTTGAACTTGCAGTGATCCTCCTGTCTCAGCCTCTCGAGTGCTGGAATTACAGGTGTGCACCACCACGCCCAGCTTATTGTAACTTTTCATCCATGTTTTCCACCATATCCTCCTCTCTCAACACCCTGAGTCCAGTGAGCAGTGGTGTTGATGCCCTAAGGAGGTTGGGGGCTACCGCTCCTTGTCACTTAGTGGGTTGAAGCTGGGGTGGGGCTTTGAAGGGCCAGAAAGGCCTTGATCTACCTACCCTGCGAGCTCTGTGTACGCGTGCCTGGCCCATGAGTCTGTCTCTGCAGCCCCAGAGGGAGTTGGGGCTTGGGCTGGTGGCAGAAAGCAGGGCATTCCTGTGGCATGGCCTGAAAGTATTCCAAGGACCTGTGCTGAGGGGACTGCCCAAAATGCTGATTCTCAGAGCTCTCCTTCAAACACTGGATAGGATTCCAGAGAGGGGATTGGGCCAGGAATCTGAGGGTAACTTGCAGGCCTGGAGCCCTTTGCTCTGAGACCCACCAGGGCATGACCAGCCTAGAGGCCTCACTGTCCTTGGTGTGACCCGTCTGCTGTGGAGCTGCTTCCCCTCAGCCCAAGCTGTTATCTTCCTTGCTTTCTCTGCTCAGCCAGGGCTCGTGCTCAGGACTCCAGCACAGTGCTGAGCCCTGGAAGGGAGCCCCTGCCCTGCTTTTGCCAAGTCCAGATCTGTGGATGACCTTTTCTGAGAGCAGATGGGGCCAAGGGCTCATAGGAATACATCTCCAACCTTGTTGCAGGGGTCTAGAAAAACAGATTTAAATGTGGGTGTTCCAGAAAGCATCTGATTCTCTGCTCCTGGTTTTAGGAGGCAGCATAGGCATTGCCTGTGGTGGGACAGGCATGGCCACCCCAGGCCCCACTGCAGCTCCAGAGCTGGAAGGATTCTGTAGCCTTGGGCTTCTTGGAGTCCGAGCCCCCCAAGGATTAGGGGACAGAGGCACACCTGCAGGGGTGGCTGCATGCCTTCCTCACGTCCAGCTCTTCCTCCAGGCTCTACTGTCCAGTCTACAGGGCAGGGATTCAGGGGAAGCTGGGAAAGTGTTTGTTGGGGGTTAGGCCAAACCATGTCTGGGTCTCTACTGGCTTGCTGAATTGGGATCTTGCCACTCCTTGCTGAGCCCACTCTGCAGGGTGTGAAGTGGGGATGGAAGCCATAGCAGCAGAGCAGGGGTGACATTCTGCTTGTTCCCTCCTGGGGCCCTGGGCTGGAGGTTCTGGAAGCCACAGTTTTAGCCTTGCACCCAAGACTGGTTCTGAGCCAGCGTTGTCAAGTCCCTTAGCATCTGGAAGGGACACAGTGCAGGCTGGGCCTACTCAGTTCCCTTAGATGTTACAGGACAGAGGAGGGTGAGGAACAAATTTGGGGACCCCTGCTTTTCCTGCCCCCATGAACATGCCTCTCCTGAGCTTCTCACTCTGATCTCTTCTCTCTCTGGCATGTATTTTGGGCAGTTTCAGAAGGGGAGAGGAAAGGCAGGTGGGCAGGGTGCAGGCTGTGGATGCCAGTGTCCCCTGGGGTGCCCCGGGTCCAGGTGCATAGAAGGAGCTGGCTGTCCACTGTTGTTTGGCTTCTCTGTGAGCACATTACGGCTTTGGGTTCCCATCTCCAAGCATGGGGTCCCTTGGGGTTAAGGTGCACAAAGTAGATGCTGGGGACCCCACACCTGTCCTGCTGTTCCCGGTCCCTGAGCCTGTGACTAATGTTGTGCATGTTTAATTCTCTGTCGGCTGTGGCTGCTGCCTGCCTAGGAGCTGATAGCTAATCCCTGTCAGCAGGTGAGTCTGGGCTCTGAACCTTCCACCTCCCCACCGGGGCCCCACACAGGGGGCCTGTCTGTGTCACCTCCTGGCTTCTTGCTCACCCCTGTAGGGCAGGATGCAGTGACAGGAAGTTTCGAGAGTCCTGATCTTACCCACAGGGCTCAAGGCAAGGCATTGTGTCGGGCTGCTCAGGTTGGGCACTGCGTAGTTCTAGGGGCACAATTCAGGACAAGGGTGGTGTGAGTGGTGGCCCTGGAGCTGTGTGGGGTGGAGCCCGGGCTCAGAGGAAACACCTTGAGTGAGAGTGCTGTGCCTCCCAGCCAGTGCCTCCAGCCACGACCCTGAGAGAAAGAGGGTAGAACCTTAGGTTTCTTGGGAACCTGCCAGCTGTGCCCTACAGCAGGGAACTGTAGGTATAATTCTGCCTCAATTTCTACCATGCTGACCCGATGGATGCCCTGCACCTTGGGCACGTGGGGTTGTACCTGGAGCCCCCAAGAGTCAGGAGCTGGCCTTGCAGGGTTAGGACCAACTTCTCATCCCGAGCCCAGGAAGCCCTTGGCTGGGGGCTGTGGTAGACCATGGTCCCTGCTGATGCCACAGGGGCAGTTACACCTGCATCACCAGCTGCTTCCCCAGAGGGCTCGTGGCCTGATCTCCGACCATGGCCTGTAGCTCTGCATGCGCACCTTATCCCTCTCTGCCCAGGACAGAGCTCTAGATCCTGCCCTTGAGAATTGGTTATTAAACACCAGCTGTCAGCCTGTGTCCCTTGCTTTTTCTCATGGCCTCTGATCAGGAGCATCCCCAGGTTGGCTGGAGGGCGGTGCCTGGGTGGGCAAGCAGGGGCTTGCCGTCACTTCCTCTTGGCTTCTTGTTTGCAGAAAGAGCTGGGTTCCACCGAGGACATCTGCCTGGCCTCCCGCAAGGTCAAGGAGCTGTCGGTCATTGACGGCCGGAGGGCCCAGAACTGCATTATCCTTCTCTCCAAGTACGTATGCACCCGGGCAGCTCCTGCTGGCAGAGCACGGACACTCCAGGGAGCAGAGCCCCAGCACCCCGCGAGGGCTAGGGCAAGGGGGGGTTGAGCTGAGTGCCTGCAGTGAGACAGAGGTGACACCTGGGAAGCAGGGTGATGGCAGCCTCGGCCCTACTCCCCCACCTTGGCTGTGCCTGGGCAGGGGCAGGCACACATCTAGAGCCCAGCCCTGGGAACGCTGTGGAGCTGCAGACTGGCACAGGACATTCCCCTGGTTACGAGGCCCTGGGCAGCCTGGTCAGGGTCTGGCAGCCAAGTTGCTCTAAGCCCACGGAGGGCCCAGCTTGGGGTAGGCCAAGGAGCACCATGATATCAGCCCCTAAGCATTTCCCACGGCTGCAGAACAAACAGGCCAGTATCTGTGCTAACAGCACAGCCTCTGTGCAGGGCCTCCCAGAGGCAGGGTCAGGGCGACCGCGAATCCCGTGCTAATCTTAGCGTTGCCCCGAGCACCCCTGGAACATCCCCCCTCCCCCGTCCTTAGTTTCTCCCATTTGATGGTGGGGCATGCTGATGTGCATACCAGCAGAGGGGATGCAGGGGCTCTGGGGGGGGGGTCCCCTCACCCCTTCTCAGGCAGCAGGGCTGCTCAGAGCAGCTGTGTGAGAGCAGTCAGGGACTGAGAGCCATTCTCTGTCCTGAAAAGGAAGGACAGGAATGTCCCCTTAGGCGCCTGCCGAAGTCTCATCCTCCTGTGCAGATGCCGTAGATGTGTTAGGCACAAGGAGGAGAAAGAAGGTCTGAAACCCTCTCCCTGGGCCTTCGGCCTCTATGGAAGATAGCCCTTTGCCTTCCAAGTGCCCTCAGCATCTCTGAGGAAGCCTCAAACAACACATCAGAGGCTCAAGACTTGGTTCAGACCCTGAAGTGCTCCTCATTGAGTGTGCGGAGTGAATCCCATTAGGTCCAGTTGAGAAGGTTTCGCAGGGGAAAGGGAACCACGAAAGTGCTCCCTAGCCCATGTTAGGGAGAGAGCAGAGGATGCGGCGTCTGGCCTGGAGAGGGAGGTTTAGAGGGCAAGGCTGCTCAGGGGGTGCTTTGCCTCAGGTTGAAGCTTTCCAATGAGGAGATCCGGCAGGCTGTCTTGAGGATGGACGAGCAGGAGGACCTTGCCAAGGACATGCTGGAGCAGGTAAGGACCTGGAGGGCGGGAAGGAGCAGCTACCCGCTTCCCGAGGGCCCCCAAGAGCCTGAGATGTTGGCTGTGGGAGCAGTCAAGCTGGGGGAGTTGGAGAGCGTGTTTCTAGAAGGACCCCTGCCTGAGCCTCTCTGGGAAAAGGCTGGCGACAGCTGCCAGGGGTCTCTGAGAGGGCTGGAAGGAGATTGGAGGTAAAGTCTGTCGTGGGTCACAAGCCAGAGCTAGGGCAAGAGTAGGCATCTCTTCTTCCAGTCTTGTCTACCTCAGTGTGTTGTGTCCCTTATGAGAAATGCAGTAAACGCCAAGCAAAAGTGGCATCAATTAAAAAAGAACTGCTGTCTATCAAAAGGCAGGACCGTATTACTAGAGCGTGAAGAGAAGCCAAAGCTTGGAAGATAGTCCACACACACACACACACACACACACACACACACACACAAAAATCAATGAGAAAATGACAAAGCAACTTCAAAATGAGTAAACGGCTTGAACAGGCCCCTCCTGGAAGAGATGTTGATGTGGCCAGTGAGCATTTATTTGGAAAGAGCTCAAGCCTTGTAGGCATCAGAGAAACATTGTGAGCCACAGGGAGACAGCTACTACCCATGCGGCACGGGATTGAGATTCCACCAACGGGCAGTGCTAGGTTCTGCCAAGGATGTGAAGTGATTGGCGTTCTCACTGGCACCATCATGGTGGAAAACTGTGTAGTAAGCACATGAAGGCCTAACAGACACCCACCCTACTGCCCGGTAACCTCACACTTAGATGCAAACTCGAGAGAAACCAGGGTAAATAGTGGCTCAGAGATGCAGGCAGGAATATGAACACCAACTTTATGAAGCCGCCAAAGGGTGTGCAAGCCAGCTGTAGTAAGAAAGTGATCAAACAGGCTGTGGTGTGTTCCTGCGGTGGAATACTCAGTGACAAACAAAAGCGACCAACACGTAACAGGGAGGACTCCTAGGCGTTAGGCTGTGGGACAGAAGCTGGATGCAGAAGAGGACATCCAATGGCACTGCCCACTTTCTGTTGCTGGTGTAATTCCTGAGACGGTCTGAGGCTGGTGAGTCCAGGAGTTTGGCACCAGCCTCCGCTTGGCACCTGGTAACCAGCGCAAGCATCCTATAAAACCACTAAAGCCACATGGGGACCCCACGTGCATGGCTTCTGTTCAGTCCTAATTATCTTCCAAAGGCCCCACCTCCAAATGCCATCACTGGCTGAACTTGGGGGTTACATTGCCAACACATGAACTCGGGGGGGGGACGACACAGTCTTCCCATAGCACCTGGCATGAGTTCGAGAGCAGGCAGAAGACAAGAGCAGACAAATCTATGGTGGTAGAATTCAGTGGAGGCCATGTTGGGAAAGGGGGCAGCTTTCTGAAGTGAAGTCAAAGACCTTTCTAAGAGGCAGGAAACACTGTGTATCTTAATCTGGTGTTGCAGATCTCGTGTCCCCGTGGGCAGAGTTTTGACAGAACTCACTGAGTTGCCCATTTCAAAAGGATGTGTTTTGTTTTTTTTTTTTTAATGGTGAAACTGGGGATTGAACTCAGGGCTTTCTTGCTAGGGAAGCACTTATTCTGCTGAGCCATCTTCCCGGCCCAGGTGTGTTTTATTGTATGTAGATTATATCTCCACAAAGCTTGCTGGAAAAGAAACATCACTGATGTGCATACTTCAGAGTAGGGTACTTTCTGTAAGTTATAGCTCAATTTCAGAAGGTGAAGAAAATCAGAAAGTTGCCCAGCATGGTGGCGCATGCCTGTAATCCCAGCACTCGAGAGGCTGAGGCAGGAAGATCATTGTAAGCTCGAGACCAGCCTCGGCTACAAAGTGAGCTCAAGGCCAGCCTGAGCTGCATAGCAAGACCCTGTCTCAAAAAATAACCAACCACACACACATGTACACAAAAAGCAAGAAAATCAAGAAGTCAAGGACTGCCATCTTCTAGTAGTTCCTGACTACATGAGGGTCCCTCTGTTGGTCTTACACGGAATCAGCACATGGGCTTCTTGTGCCCTGCACCTCTGAATCTGCTGCGCACCCCGGTTGTGTCTGACCCACTCCCGCTCTCTGCAGCTCCTCAAGTTCATCCCTGAGAAGAGTGATGTGGACCTCTTGGAGGAGCACAAGCATGAGATTGAGCGAATGGCCCGCGCTGACCGCTTCCTCTATGAGATGAGCAGGTCTGGGGGCCATTCGGTGTGGCCAGAGGGGTGGTGGCCCTGGCAGGGAGGACAGGAGCGAGGCGAGCTGGAGAGGAGGCTGAGGCTGGAGGCCATGTTCCTTGCCCTGTCCCCAGGATCGACCACTACCAGCAGCGACTGCAGGCCCTGTTCTTCAAGAAGAAGTTCCAGGAGCGACTGGCAGAGGCCAAGCCCAAAGTGGAAGGTAGGGTGAGCGGTGGGCAGGGCCCTGGGGTGGGGCAGTGCCAGGGAACCTACGCAAAGGGGCAGAGGGAAACAGAGTCCTTATTCTTCACCCAAAAGGAAAACCAATGTCAAGGGCAGACTGTAAAACTACAATATGATAAGGAAGTGCCCTGGTTTCTATTGGCACGTGTGCCAGCCTCGGAGGTGTGACAGGGGCTAGGCCTCAGTGTTGGGACCCTCCTCCCTGCAGGGAGGGACTTCTGCTGGCATCTGTTGTGGTGTGGGGCAGAAATGATGCGCAGGGGCCAGAGCTGTGCCTGTCACGAAGGAGCGCACCCCTCTGTGGCTAGCTGAGAGTTTCTGAGCGTGTTTGGGAAGACATCTTGGGATATCGTTTCAAGTGGGAGCTCCTCAGAAACGGAGAGATTGAGTGAAGTGACCTGTGGATGTGCCTGATCTGAGCCAGGGAAACCCCTCTCGCACAGGCTGCTTCCCAAGGACAAACTCCTGAGGCCCATGTGCCAAGCTCCATGGGAAACACCATGTGTGAATTGTCTCATTGGTCCCTGCAAGAACCCCAGAGGTGGGTCCCTGCAAGAACCCCAGAGGCTGTCATGGCCTGTTGATGGCCTCCTTTCTCTGTCTCTAACATGGGCTGTGGTCGTCACTGTGTTACTGGTGGGTAGTGGAGCCAGGATAGGAATCTTGGTGTGGCCTGGTGGGCATCTCTCTGAGGCTGCTTATGGGATGGTGGGGGAGGCTGGAGCGAAGGGTTGTGGGAAAACACAGGTGGGCGTGGTGGTGGGCAGGAGGGAGTGAGGCTGGCAGGCTCATTTGGGGTGAGGACAGGACCACAGAGCAGCATAAGCCATGTCCAGGTTCTGAGGATTCAGGGTTGGGGGCCAAGCAGTGCATGGCGCCCCCTGCTGGACAACACCAGAGGCACTCAATTCTCCATGAGATGCCAGTCCAGAGAGAGTCCATTCCTGGGGTCCAGCCAGATGCTTTGGGGAAGATGAAATCTGCAGAGCTGAAGGCAGACATTTTTTTGTAATCTTCCCCCTATTCTTCTCACACACACACACACACACACACACACACACACACACACACACACAGAGCATATGCCTTCGGACAGCCAAGAACCTGCAGGTTGTGATCATAGATAGTCAGTCTGAGCCAGAGGAGAGATTTCAGGAGCTTCTGTCATTGCTAAGGTCTGGCTGTTGCTCTTGGTCCTGGTGATGGGTGGATCCTTATCTTCGTCTCCATTTCCTTCTGCTGTAGGCTGCCCTTGGGGCCAGAAGCAGAAATAAGGGGTTCAGCCCAGGGTGGACATGCTCAGTTGTCTGTGTCTTGGGTCAGTAAAGTAATGGCACCCCACTGCCCTCTGGGGCTAAGGAAGCAGAGCAGCTCAGCAATTAGGGAGGCTTAATCCCAGGCTGCCTCTTGTCCCCTGCAGCCTTCCTCTGCTTAATCCCAGGCTGCCTCTTCTTAGCGAGTGGCTGCTGTGTAAAGTCTCCTTTTACTGTCTAACTACACAGAACAGGATGTATTGAAGACAGCAAGGTTTCTAGATTTTCTCGCCTAGGGCAGTGGCTACTGTCTGAAGGGCCCAAGAGTGAGGTAGGGAAGAGGGGCCTGAAGCTGTTCAAGGTATGATTGAAATAGTTTCCTTTTTTAAATGTATTACAGTAAAAGGCACATTGGCATGAATCCCCCTCAGAACCAGAACCCCTCTTGTTTCAAACACACTCACCCCATCATTCTTGCCACAGCAGTTCTGGAAGTCCTCTTTCATGAGTGTCTTTAGCTGTGCTGTTGTAGGTGCCACCATGTCCTGGCTGGCTTCAAAACATTTCTCTGTCAGAGTTTTTAGCTTTGGGGAAGGGCCAGGAGTTGCATGGTGCTGGATCTGGTGAGGGAGGTGGACGAGGACGCAGTGTCATGCTTTGACAAGCCTGCATTTGCACAGGCTGGCCCTCAGCAGCAGCATTCGCTGCAGTATGTTTGATCACAGCTTGTGAAAACACCCCCAAAGAGAGCTTCCAGAACTGCTTCAGAAAGAAGCCAAGAACGCTGGGATGAGTGTTCAAAGTGAAAGGGAGGGTCTGGAGAGCGTGGGGTGGCCGTGTCCTTTACGGTCATAAACTGCTTTAAGCAGTATAGACCCTCTCTATATTGATCACACCTCGTGTAGAATTGCATCAGTGTGGTCCACAGAGTGGAAGAGCGGAGTATTGTGCAGGAGTTAGGGTTCTTCTTTCTCCTCCTCCTTGTCCTCATCCTGGTCTTCCTCCTCCTCTTCCCAGAAGACACTCCTGAAGGAGTTGAATTTAGCCTGTTCCCCCAGAGTCCCATGAGTCCCAGAGTCCTGAGCTGTCCATCCCACTCTCCCTCCAGCAGCGTAGGGGATCTGCGTTACTTTGCCAAAAGCCAATGCTCCACATAGGACAGATTTCCCAATTTTTCTGTAACGACGCTCACGCCTGTATTTTTTTAACGCATTCTTCTTAGCAATGTGTCCACTGCCTCCGATGCCACAGGTACCAGTGCTTATTATGAAGGCTTTCGCTGAACAGCGTGCAGATGCGTGTGGCTACGGGAGTACTATCCTTATGAACCTATTCATGGATACATTGATCTTGGGAAAGCATCTAAAATGTGCTGGCTGCAGTTGGGCGTTTTCCCACGTACACTGATTTCCTTTGAATTCTTGTCACTTTCTGTTTTGCCAGCATCGTAGTATTTTTAGGAGTATTTCTTTGCAAACTTTTAAAATAGTAAAATTCAGCCTTAGAAAAGCCATCTCAAGATACATATTTTGCTGGCAACTTTTATAAATGATTTTTCCCCAATAAACTTTATTTTCCCTTTGCATTTATTTTTTTATGTCTTTTTGAGACAGGGTTTTGCTATGCAGTTCAGGCTGGCCTTGAGCTCACTTTGTAGCCCAGGCTGGTCTTGAATTCACCTTAGCTTCCCAAGTGCTGGGATTACAGGCTTGCGCCACCACGCCTAGCCAAACTTTTTACTGAAATATGATGTGCATGTGTAAAAGTACTGAAATCCTGAGATGTGATGAATCATTATGAAGCAGAACCCCGTTTGTGACTGGCCCTCAGGTCAAGGCGTGGAATGCCACCAACTCTGGAGCCCCCTTCCCGCCCTTCTTCCTGGGACTTGCCCCTCTGGCCCTCTATGGAGAGGAGCAGTTTTGACTTGTAGACTACTTTGGTCTGTTTTGAGCTTTATATACATGCAATAATGTGGTGCAAATAATTTGAGGCTGGCTTCTTCTGCCTAATATTATGGGCTATGAGTTAATCCGGTGGGGAATTCATTTTCCATGCTTCGTCTTACTCCATTCTATATTATAATTTTCCCATTATAATTTGAAAAAAAAAAAAAAAACCCTAGAGGTAGCTCAACTATCCTAACTAAAAGTATCAACTATCCATTAGTAAGAGTGGTATTGCTTTTAGGTCTTATGTGATAGGTTCTGGCCCTCGTGTGAATGGCTGAATTATTATGGTGGTCATCTAGTATGGCTGAAGCCCTTACAACAGCAGCTCATCTTCCCAGACACCACCTCCCCCTTCTCCTCCAACTCACCCAGGGTGCAGTTTCCTTTCACCCTTCCTGCCGCCTCAGGGAGGATCCCAGTCAGCTCCTAGGTATTTCAAAACATCCCCCTCAAACTCCACCCCTAATAAATGGCCATAAAAGCCTCAACTTTGCCTCAGATCTGCCCCACCGGCCCTGCCCCTTTCTGTGTCTTTGGAGTTCATAAAGGCTTCTTTTATCTTTCCTATCTCTTTACTACGCTGCCGAAAAACCTATCAGTATGAACGTGTTCCACTCGGATGGAGCAGACAAAACTTATTTATGGCTTCTTTTGTGTAGTTACTTATTTTAAACTGTTCTTGTGGTTTTCTCCAGACTTTAGTTGAGTGGGTTTCTTTTTCTCTCCTATATTGGTCAGTTTTCTGTCACTGACTCAAATGCCTGTGAAGGACAGCTTAGAGGAGCAAATCTATACTTGGGGCCCTGGTTTCAGAGTGTCCACTTCGTGGTCAGCCAGCTGTAGTGCAGGAGCATCATGGCGGCAGGCAGCAGGAAAAGCCGCTCGTGAGGAAGCAGAGATGAGGAGGAGGAGGAGGAGAGCCAGGGAGGAAGGGGTCCAAGCTTCCAAACCCCAGGAGCCTATTTTCTTCAGCTGAGCCCCATCTCTTAAAAGTCCATTCAGCCCCAAGTTCATTTGTGGATTATCCTTGGGAATCAGTCCTCAACACATTTCAGTCTTTTT